TTTTTTTTTTATATCTCAAATCATTCTTCAATCTCAAAAAAAAAAAAAAATCAAATAATAATAATAAAAAAATCAAATACTTAATTAGAAAAAAATTTTAAATTAGTAATTTGTTTCAAATATCATATTCTCTAACGAATACGCCGAAGACCTTGGTCTTGCAACACTTGTCCATGCCATGACACATGCATAGTTCACTTAAGCCACAGGGCCAAGGGGTGGTGGAGAGCTGACACCATGCCTCTCCCTAAGGTACGTTCTAAGGCATTCTTGGTCTGACAGGCGTGTACGTGCAAAGTGACGAGGAGTCACTCGCCAACATAGAGTGCACGTCTGAATTCCGTTCGATACGAAACTTGGCGTACTTACATATCTCACTAATATGCATATTGTTTGAAAGACTTTGTAAGGATATGCTTACAAATTTATTTTATTTTGCAGTTTTTATTCCCTGAATTTTATTTGTCGAAGATCACATCTGCTGCATGATGTTCCTAAATGTGCACAAAAAAGGTAAAATTGTATAAGAAATCATTTTGAAATCGATTTTACATTTCTTTTAATTTAGTTTTCAAATATGTAAGTGAACATCTGGATAAAAGTGAAATAAAAGGAAAAAAAAAAAAGTACTTAGCCCACACACATATTAAAAATTTTTGCTCATTTTTTGACGTGACTGTATTTTTATTGACTATAAAATTTTAGTGATTCACTCTAGGGTTCGTTCCAATTATTTTAATGACGTGTACCTATAAATATTAATTTAATTTTAAATCCAATAAATAATTTTWGAAATTATTCGTTATTTTCCAAAAAAAAAAAAATCTCTCCTTTTTTTAAAGAAACTAAAAATAAAATATCTGTAGATCCCGAAACCCTGGATTTTCAAATTTTCTTGATTTACCTTCTTAAAAAATGAAATTACTTTTATGGATATTTAAACTCAATTAAATAGATATATTTTACTGTTGCATAATTACTTGGTTAACAAAATTTAACATCAAGTAAAACAGCCAGCACTTCCAAGAAAACGTAACAAAGACTTGATTGGAAAAAAAAAAACACCTTCTATGAAGCTCAAACTTTTTGAAACATTCAAGATAAAATTAAAAAAAAATTATATAAATATTAGAAATAGAAATACAATTTCATAAATTATAAAAATTGTTATGTAGGGAAAAAAAAAATCTTGCCACCTAAATATAAAAAAAACAAAAAAAACAATATCTTTCTTTTTCCTTCCTAAAAAAAATTATGATATTTAAACATCATCTTGACAAACCAATTGTGATAAATATTCTAGAATCCATCTCATTTTAAAAATTTTATATTAGAAACGTACCCCGAAATTAAAAAAAGAAAAAGAAAAGAAAAGAAAATGACGTACAAGAAATAGATATAGATATNATATAGATATTTATAAAAAAAAAAAAAAGTAATAATGCAATATCTGATGGCGACGTCCACGGTTTTGGGCTATGGCCCATAGTTTCCAATGTCACTTCAAAAACAAATTTAATTTAAAAAATCTAAATTAAACGTAGAGAGAGTCAAAGTAGAGAATCAAATAATTATATATAAAGCAGCCAATAAAAAAAATAATGATATAATTAATAATTAGCTTAACAAAGCGGAAAAGGACAAAATAAAAATAATTGTGGTACTTATTTGAATTTCTTCGAAAGAGAGGGGTAGGAAGGGAAATTAAAAATTAGGGTTTGGGCACAATCCAACCACTACCACCACTATGGATTGAGAGAGGTTTTAAATCGACTTTGATAGAAATATCAATAGGAATTTTGATAAAATATTCATGTCAATTGAAAAGATTCCTAAAAAAAATATTTAAATTAATAAATAAATATATTTTTTTTTTTTGAAAATTGTCAATATACTTTTTATGTCAACGTCAAATTTATAGACATATAAAAATGTTGAGTTGCGACGAAAATTCAAGATTAAAATACTAGTTTGATTGCTTTACTTTCAACCTCGATTCATTTTGCTCTACTTCTAAAGAGTGCACGACCTTTAATTTTATTCTTAATCTCAATTTTTTTTATCACAATTTCAAATTGACACTCCAATCAATATATGTCTTTAAAGGTACATATTACTTTATACTAAAGAGTTTCCATTACATGTAAAAATTGTGTAAAATTTTACAAAGAGGAAGTAGAATGATGATCACTTTTTAAAAGTATACGAACTAAAATGAATATTTTAAAAGTACAGTGATTAAAAGGAACTAAAAGTGACAGTACATGAATAAAAAACGAACCTTTTAAAAGTACATGAACCAAAAATAAACCAAAGCTGAAAGTAAAAGGACTAAAACTACTATTTTAACCGAAATTCAATATCCTAATTGAGACAAAATAAATGGATAAATAAAATAAATTTATTGGGATAAAATAGGTGAGAAAGGGCCATACATCTTCATCTTGTTTTTTTATTTATTTATTGTTTCCATTGACCTTGGAATTATGACATTGGCAATATCCATTTTATCCTCCATGCCATAGAAAGCAACCATTGGTAGGGCTTGTTTTTGTGTTCTTCAAAGACAACCACATCTTCAAATTTGTATTGGACCACTTTTCTTTGCATCATATTTGAATCTAAGTTGGAGCTGATGGCTTTAGTGATAACAACTTCCAACTTCGAATAAAAGTTTAATCTAAAGTATTGGGTTTAAATATAATGAAAAAATCTTGCTGATTTTCTAAAAGTTGGTATTGTCATGAACGCTTATGATTCTATTTGATTGATTATTGTCTGAATCGTTACTTGAATTTTCATGATCAATTTACATTCACATATCTAATCAAATTAGTCACCATTGATAAAAATTAGTTTCTATTAAATTAGTTGGTGTGGTTCAACGTTAATTCAACTTTATATTTTACCACTTTTATCTTGAACTCAATTATTTTTGTCTAAGAGAGAATTCGAATTTATCAAGGAGTTTGAGGCCAAATAAATAGACTTTTTTTTTTCTTTATTGTTTTCAATAAGGTGTGTTTTGAAGGTATGTATTTCCTTTATAAAAGCAGTTCAATATCTCAAAAATATTAAAATAAATATGAATTAATTATTAATCTAAATATGAAAGAAATACTTGCAAAATATTAGCAATTAAATAATAAAGGTAATTTACTTGGGAGCTCCCAAATGCATTATTTGAATGATTAAAACCTCAACAAATACTTTTGTTTGACTACTGTCCTTTTTTTAGAAGCTAAAACTTCTTAGATTTTTTTTTCTTTGTTAAAAAGTAGTGAATCTATCTCTACTAAATTTTCTCTCATTAATATTTTCTCTTTATATCCAATATTTTCTAATTTAGTTATTTCATATATATATATTTTCACTTTTTAGCTCAACCAAAGTATGTATCCAACCAAAATATCGTGTGTTCGGATACCCACCTAATATGTCGTTGAAAAAAAAAATTGCCCTTTTTAGTAATTTATCAATTCTAAATATATATGACACAAGAATGAAAGTCTAAAGTAAGGATATACGAGAGAACTTCAAAATCTTGAGATAATAGTTTTTCAATATTCCCATTATCATATGTATAGACAATTTTCAGTTGGGGAAGGTTATGGAAAGTGACATGTTCTATATTTTAGGTCATAAAGAAGGCTTGAGCTAAACTTCCAATGAGAAAGATACTTGAACTCCCAATTGTATACTCTCCAAATGTAAAATATTTTGGTCTTTAAACCCATTTTTTATTTTGTTTGAGTAAGAAACCAATTTAGGGGGTTTCTTAGTCATTAATTTCACTTTCATCCCAAGTTGAAGAAATGGTCAATTTTGTTTTAAGGTTTTTGGAGCTCAAAGTTTGTGTTATGGATTGGGGGGAAGAATTTATTGTATTGGTGATCTCTTCCTTTAAAAACTATAAGTGGACCATTTTTCTTGATGGTGAAAGGGCCTCATGTGATCTTGATGAGAGAGAAGAAAGAAAGTTAAAAATTTTATTGGTTTCCATTTCTTAATTGAGAAGGTAATGGCATTGATATCACCAACATGGATCATGTTTCTTATTGGGGTTTGAGAAGATTATTGTTCTCGATGGATATAACAAAACAAGATTTTTATTGTTAGACTACTGATTTTTTAAAAAATAAGTAGAGATGTTTCGACGCTTGGCCATCCAAAACAAGCATATAATCTAATTCTAACTTTTGAAATTCTTGGGGATGGTTATATGTGTAATTCTAAATCCTTTTTTACCATTTTTGGAGAGTCCAAAATGTGAAGAAGCAGTTATTGTGAGTGGTTGGGCTTAAATTCAAGAAGATAAGATTGTTTGGTTGGAAAAGTAGAAAGCAATCTCCATCCACAAAAACTATCTTGCATCATTGCCTTTGTTTGTCCCTTCTTGGTTAGGATTTTTCATGGAGTTTTTTTTTTTTTTTTAATTATCATTTCTACAACTTGCTACACACTTTTCCCTATCCAATAAAGTTGAATCTTGATTGGATTGTCTTTTATTGATGAATTAAATTCCATCAAAACCCTAATTGCAATATTTCTTTTGTTTTTAACTAATTAAAAATAGTTTTAAAGTGCTATGAAAAATTGTTATCAAAATTAAATGATATGAGGTAGACGAGAGAGTTGATATATTCAAAACAATACCACAAAAAAAGGGACTTTCCAATACATGGCCTTCTCTCGTGAAACTTATGAGTTTATTTTTAAGTTAAATTTTAAAAATTTTAATTACATAAGAAGATTTTAACATCTTTGTTTTGTCATCTCTATTAAAAAAAAATAGCGTTATTACAAATGTGAGTTCAGCCTATAAAAAATGTTACTAATGTATTAATTGTTAAGATAGGTTTAGATTGGCATAGTTCAATGGTAATTGACATATATCGCCGACAAAGAGGTTGTAAGTTTGATCTTCTACCCACACATATTCTACTCAAAATAATTAAAAAGAAAAGATTGGCGTAATTAAAATGAAAATATTGCATTCATATCTTAAAACAAAAACTAATTTGTTATTGGTCAAGCCAATGCAATTACAAATATAGCCTTAAACAAAATGATAATTTGCTAAGTAATTATTAGACATGCATTGGCTGAGGAGGAGCGAGGAAAAAGTCTGGTTGTGGAAGCGGAGGAGGGAGAATTGGCCCGCGGGGGACGAAGGCGGAGGACGCCGTACAAGAAAGCACCGGAAACTGCTCCGATCACCGGAGCTGTAATGTATATCCATATGTCGTCGAAAGCCCATGAAACAATTGCCGGCCCTAACGATCTTGCTGGATTCATTGATCCACCAGAAATGGGCCTGAATTGGCCCAAAGCCCATTACCGAACAAAATCATACATAATTCTAAAATAAACCAAATATACATTATTTCTCCTCCTTTACTCGTTTAAAAAATGTACTCACTTTCAGCCTTATCATCGGCGCTGAAGCACAAATGTCGACTCAAACTCAATCAAGGCCCAATACAACCCGGTCTAAAGTCAACATTTGATAGGCCTGACACAGTTTAACCCATCTATAAATTAGACTGGATATGGATCTTTATTTTTCATATTTGACTAGCCCATACATCGACCCGTTTGTCATATTTGGATTGACCCAAATGGACCAGCCCTAAACTTCAATTAATATAATCAAATATTACTCTTATATATTGTAACTATATATACATGTATTGATTATTAATATATAATTAATAAGTATTTAACCTTGTTCTGTAGTGTAATTCTAATTCCTCTAAATGTGTTTTATATTAATATAATAATATAATTTGTTACTTTAAACCTAAAATAAACAATTTGATTTTAAAAAAATAACTTATTATATGGGCTAGTTTGATCCGATTCAAAGGGTTAATTCAAGCTGATCCAACTTTAGTTCATTGACTTAGGCCATAGATTGGGTCATGGGTCTAAGTCTTAGAAGTTGGGTCGGGGTCGACCTAAACAATACTTGAAGCTCATAGCAGTTGGGCTAAGGTCGAACTCGAGCCTTTTATTTTTTAGATTGGGTCGGCCCAATAACGAGGGTGAAGTCACTTTATTTACTTTAACATTGAGTAACTTTATTTTTTAGCCGTTTTCTAAAAAAAATTTATTTTTAGTCCATCAAATGTGTAGATAAGATATAGATAAATGCCTTAATTAAACACGAGGGATGGAATTGGAAATTGGCAAATAAATTGGAGAGTATTTTAAAGAGAGAGAGGAAAATGGGGCGGCACCTACCCTGTGATGAGCACAGCAAGCCCAATGGCCATTCCAATGACAAAGCCAGAGAACTGACCAACCTGCATCACACCAAATTCGGCCCAACAAAGCCCAAATCACGACGGCTCTAATTTAACATTTAATTAATAAATTGATTTACTTGCTTACTGATTGGTGTTGATGATGGGCCAAGGAAGAAACGAGGAACATGAGAATGAAGGCTGCGAGAAGCTCAACGAGGAATGCAGAAATTGTGGGCTGAAATGGTCGAGTGGTCAATTGTTGTGGCTTGATGTTGTATATGAACATTCCTGCATATGTAGCCATCACACAGCCTGTGGTTTGTGCCACTGCGTAGGGCATTACCAGGGACCATGGGAAGTGAGAAAAAATGGCGGATGCAAGAGTGATGGCAGGATTGAAATGAGCACCGGAAATGGGGCGGAAGGAGAACGTCAAAACGCCGACCGTTAAACCGGCCGCGACGGCGTAGTCGAACAGACCCATCAGTCCAGCGCTGGCCGTGGTACCACACACGCAGACCATCAGCAGAAAACTCCCAACCATCTCAGCCAAAACCTGCAACAAAACATACAAGATTATAAGATTCATGTTGAATTCAAGGCCTTTGTTTTAGTTTGTTATGAGGAAAGCAGATCAGCATTTACGGGGCGCGCCGGATTGGGGTCCATGAGCAGCGGCGGGGTGTGTTTTTGTGGGGTGATTGGGTTCATTTGAGGCCATTTTGTGTTTGTGGGCAGGTGCTTTTGGTTGGCTTGTTTGTTGATGAGTAGTTGGAAGCATGATTTTCATGATGTTTCAAACTCTTTTATTTTTATTTTTTTGTTTCCTTGTAGTGTCTTTTCTTAACCCCAAATAATTTATTAGGATAGAATGAAGATTAGGATGAAAAGAATGCTGTTGTGACCGTGAAAAGGACGACTACCTTGAAAATAATGTTGAAAATAATATGGTGGTATATCGTATGTTTGTTGGTTACTGTCTAAAGTTAATATAATTTCGAACTCAGACGTGCATTTATCGGAATCGAAAAACAGACCTAAAAGTTCTTTTTGGATCCCGTAGAGAATAAGACTGGATTTAGTTTTAAGAAAAAAAGTAAATAAAAAATATTTTAAATGAATTAATTATTATTACAAAAACAAAATGAACTAATTAATTAAAATATTAAACAGTAACATTTACATGATTAATTAAAATATAAATCAAATGTTTCCATTAAAACTTCAAAAATATAGCAAAAACGAACACAGGTTTAATGGTAATTGACATATATTTCCGAGGGCTATGAGTTCGATCTTTACTTTATTAATTTCTTGGTTAATATATTAGCAATTTTATTTAATTTGCCATTAAAATGCTAGTAACTTCGAGTATAGGGTTGAAGATCTTACTCCACAATTGTAATGTAACCTTGTTATAAATATTTTATTTTGTTAAAAAATACCTTTCATCTCTGTGTTTTCGTTGAACTAATGATTTAATCTTTGAACTTAAATTTATAATGATTTAGTCTACGTATTTTTAAATTGGTAATAATTTAATCCATGTAGGTCAAATATTGTAAAAATTTAGTCGTAAAAATTCTTATCAAAATTAAGTGTTGATTTTTATCCTATAATGATATAGTATTTGTAATTTATAAACACATTTGATCTCTCATCAGTTTAATCAATCTATATATATATAAGAAACTTCAATTTAATCAATCTATATATAAATAAGAAACTTAAAAGAAAAATTTTCAAATACCAAATGGTTACAAATTTGAAACAACAGAGACTACATTATTAGATGCTAAATTTGAAGACTAAATTGTTGCTCATTTAAAAGTAAATGTATTAAAATGATTACAGTTATTAAATTGATGAAAGTAATGTAGTTTTGGTTGAAGTTATTGGATTGTGGGACCCAAGCGGAAGTCTAAGATTCTTCCCGACTATCAAGGTAGTTAAAATTCCCTGCTCTGATAGGTCCTCAGATCCCAAACCCTTCTTCAACTTACCTCTATCTAGTAAGGTTTGTACTTTCTTGGTAGCCGGAGACTCTGCTCTAACTAAACACACCCATAGATTGTATTCTAAATAAAAATAGCTCCAAATTTCAAACAATAAACACGACAACAATCCCCATTTGTTTCCTTTATTTGTACACAAATATATACATATTATTACATACAAACATTCATTCAACAACATTCACCATCACTCACACAGAAATGGAATCACACGCACTTAAAATCAAATCTTATTTGTTCATCTCTAAGCATTAGAAGTAAAATTGAAATTGGCACAAGTAGTCTGCCGGAAAAGCAGAGTAGACGAGAACCCAAGCCTGGAACTCGCCAAATCAAACTCCAGCAAATTATCTTCAATCTGATGCGCGCCGATGACAATGGCGGTCCTCGGATTCACGCCGCCGTCCACAAATCCCAAGCACAAAACGCCGCCGTTCACCTCCACCATCGAATTCGC